AAAATTAAGAGCAGCATCCGTTTTCCGCTCAGTACTTGTATCACATCATCTTCTTGTTAGGCGACTACTTAAACAAGCTACCATTAACTAGCTATTTCAAATTTTCTTTCCCTCAATATCGTCAGGACAGTCATGGCGGTTACACTCTCACTCTCTTGCCTTAAAAAAACTTATTGTTCTGTGCTCAGACTCCATTTTCGCAGAGCTTAGAAGCAAAATATCGAGGCTCAACGAACACCAATTGGCGAACTAATTTGTGGAAGATATCCGTATACTTAAGTGATCCAACCCGTGAAGGTAATTGTGTATGTGATGCATTAAAACCTTAAGAGGCTTGAGCCCTTAAATTCTTCAAGCCAATCATTTACGGGTAAATAATCGGAGCAATTAGGGAGAGGGCATTTTCGATGATAACAATTCGAATTCCTGCCCAAATACTCTGGTGGGTTATATCCACTGTTCCAAGTGCCCTAATATCCCAGATACCTAACGCATAACAGTACTACTTTTAGTGTGACTTAGAACATCAAAGTCCCCCTAATAATCAACTAGAAAGAATATCCAGCATTTCACTCTTTATTCTTTCTAACCACTTCCAGCCTATACCAACCTCTAGTTACCATGAGCTATGCAAATATGACAACAATTTTAAAGTGCTTTAAGTCTTCAAATCCACAGCACTACTACCAAATAGTCTAAAGAATCCGAAAAGGTCTATTACTCTTACATGATACACAGCCTAGATCGGTTTTATGAAATGGACATTAGGGGCCTAGGTGGGAGAAAGATCGAAAGGGCCCAAATTAGCTATTAAATGGCCCTAATGCACTATTAGATATGAACAGTATACGTTAACTCTAGATATGAGTTTGCTGGGCTTCGCTTTATTTTTGGCTGTTATAACTCTAATATTTTTGGGATTACCACCTCCGTTAATAGCCATCTTGAGAAGTCTTTCATAATTAGTTGGGCGAACCTAGGGAATGTATCAATAATGGTCGGATAGCCTTCGTTAGAAGACGATGTATCACAGTTATGGGGAACATTTTTCAGAGTCGAATGGAAAGAAGTGAAAAAAATGATAATTCAACATCTGATTTTAATACCGCCCTAATGAAAATTTGCCCTTAACTGAGGTTTGGGGTATAAGGACTCCTTGGATCATTGATAAAATCGGCCTTCGTCGCTCACATCGAACAGGAACTTGATGACACACAAAGACCCACTTGGATCTCAAATTGCATATCTGATTGGTAGTTATAAATTGCGAGTTAAGCCTTTTTAAGGTTGTTCCCAGCTGGGTCACGTGTAAAATAAGCTTAAGTCTACGTTCAAATCTTCCTGAACAAGTATATTGCTTCATATATCCCAGTCATTAGTTCATGGGGACGCAAGATATCACAACACATCAACGTTCTACGATGATATTTTGCAGATTATAGAGATAATGAGCTATTTCTCACGGCATCCATTCCAAATGGTTAGCTTAAGGCAAGCTGCCAGATACCCTCTGCTATATATTATTAGGTATTAGATACCGCCGTTTAAACCTTCAGATACCAGTTTCAACTGGAATTTTCTGCCACCCCTTTGATGAAAGAGCTCGATATCTGCGGTATCTCACCATTTAGTGCCTGGCTAGCTAATGGCTAAAAAAGTATAAAAGGGCGTTCTTCCACCCTTTCTCTTATTTTCTTCTTCTTCTGCTTCTTCTTCTTACCTCATAATTATCACACAGCTGCTCTCGAAGGCTAACATAAATTCAACTAATTTAACTTGTTATCAAGCCATCACAAACACCTGGCAATCTCGCTTATAGGACACTGATACCTTCCTCACTACCATATTGAATACCCAATAAGTTAGCCTTTATCGGCTTTCTGGGTAGCTATAATTACATATTTCCTGTGACCTATCCCGCTAATCGCGAAGCCTTGTGCAAGGCTATTTGCGATTCAATTTACTATTATCTTACTGATCTCTCACATTAATACTGTGAAGATTGGCACTGAAGATACTTTTCAAACTGAAATTTCTCGATTAATTTCTCTCCTTTTCATAACTTGCCTCACTTCTGTTTCTTCGAACACGTCAGCATTTATTCACCTCAATCAACCAACCTCGATTTTCTTTCCTCACTCCCAATTTTTCCATCTAGTGGGCCTTTTATACATCGCTTGGAGGTTACAATTGCCTCTATCTTATGGTCACTTTCGCCTTCTCAGACTATACCCTATTGCCCATTGACCTCTGCTCCCTTATCTCCCCGAGAGAATAACTACACATCTACTCCGAGTCACTCTTTAGGGCCCCGCTTTCAACGTTTCCCAGCCATGGATATTAACGCTCCTGAAAACAATGTCTATAACGAGGACATTGTCTTTAATGAAGACTTTGAGTTCTTGGCTCCTCTCTTCCAGTCCGATGCTTCATTTGCAGCCGGAGGAAATCAAGTGATGGAAAACATATCTCCTATCTCAAAGCCATTGGATATCATGGACTCGGAAGTCTTGTCTCTTACGCGGACATCTAACGATTCTGTTGCAAAATATAGCAATTCAGAAAATGGAGAAGGAGGTGAAGGTCCCAAAAACTGCTCTGGCGATATACCTCCCCCTCAGTTTTCCGACATGATGTGGGTAGAGCTAGAAAAGGAATTGGACAGTAGCGAAGTAGAAGAATATTCGGAGTAAGTATAACCATGGTTTTACCGTATTAACAAATATTGTGATTTGCTCAAGAAAATAAAGAAAAAATAGGTTCGAGGAGGCCAAGGCAGCATTTGAAGCAGAAAAGAACCCCAGTCTAGAAGCTCAAATTCGGTTCAAGAAGGCAAAAGCAAAAGAATGCTTGCGGATTTCGAGAGCACAACTGCGGGAAGCATTAATTGAACAAGAGCGCAATACACAACATGGTTGTATCGATGGTAATGAGACCGGGGATGTCAGAATTTCGAAGGCCCAAGAGGGCGAGAACCAGAAACCTGGTAAAGAAAACGATTTTGACCTCTTTTATCCCGAAAGTAATGCAGCTCCTACGGAAGAATTACATCGGTGTACCTCTCTGAGTAACGAGGAGAGTATACCAGTGTTTGTGTGGGAACGCACTCAAAAGTCGAAAGAGTCGACTAAACCAACGAACCGGTCTCGTCAAAATGGAGCACCAAGGAAAGCAAGTAAAACCAATAGCAAAGCTAAGGTGACTAAGAAGGTAATTTTAATATCAATTATAACGCACTTTTCATGATTTTGACAAATCTAATGGTGACCAAAGCGCAATAATACCCGAGGACGCAATTCAAATGGGTCTATCAAGTTCAAGAAAAATTCTACAAACAGAGGGCCTACGAGTCTCAACTTTGACAGCTTATTTACTTCCAATATTATTGAGAATGCAAAGCGGAATACCAAGAAGAAGGCAATACCAAAGTTCACGTCAGGAAATAAAAAGGAGGCAATGAAAGAAATCATGGCCAGTATTCCAACAGACGATGATGCTGATATGCAAAGCATGTCCCAACATAAAAAGGCCATTATGGGCTCGATAGTAAAGTTCACGATACCTCCTCGGGCTGACCATGAAGGTGGCTGGAAGCATCGTGACATGATGACAAGTCTATTCCATTATCAGGTATACCCCAAAACCCGACGTCCAATAGTTATTAACTTAGCTAACATTATCAAAGCTTCTTGGGGTTGGATTCATGGTAGTTTCTCCGTCATATCATACTGCAACATACATACTAACTAACATAGCGTGACCGTGAAAACTCATCTGCGGCCCCCAAGGGCGGCTTCCTATGTGACGAGATGGGCTTTGGTAAAACAATACAGGCAATCGGTTAGTCTTGATGACATTTCCTTTCTCAATACATACGCATTAACTTTTCTCAATAGCAAACATGGTGGATGGAAAGGCAACCGGAGACAGAAAAGAACCGACAATTACATTGATAGTTGCGCCAACGCATTTGATTGAGCATTGGTACACTAGATTCCTAATATTAAAGCTCCGCCAGACACTTTACTTACAAGCAACACAGGAAAAGCGAGTTACTAAAACACATTAACAAAGGTGTACTGGGGTATATCTTTGTTTACCACGGAGCTCAGAAGCTAGATTTACAACTTGCCATTGAGTCGGGGGGAACCCAAGGAATGGGGGTTATGTAAGTTTCTTATGCAGCGAGCTTTTTTTTTAAAGAGCAGTCTAGTAATACTGAATGTTGGTAGAATCACAACTTACTCTGAAATAAGAGCTTCTTGTCAATTTCCGGTCCCCGAATTTACTGAAAAGGACGACGAAAGAAAATGGAAATCAAAGAACTGCGGTTTCCTACATAATTTCAAGTTTCGGCGCATCTATCTGGACGGTAGGTAAACCTCCTTAAAACGCCCTGCAGGGAGTCAGACTAACAGTCAATAGAGGCACACGAGATTAAAAACTATAATTCCAAAGCTAGCCAGGCAGTCAGACTTCTGACTGCAAAATTCCGTTGGGTGATAACCGGCACTCCTATTCACAAGTAAAGGCGCTGTTCCAATTGAAATATTTTCCATCAGCTAACACGAGATAATTCCCTATCTTTGTGCCAGTGATGTCACGGAATTCTACTCCTATTTCAATTTCTTGAAGGTCCCAGCACTAGAAAATTATTACACATTCCTTGACAAAATTGTGAATGTATGGGTCTCATCATATTTTATGTCATACCCTTATGGCTAATTGATTTTGCTATAGTATGATCCTGATCATCATAGGCTTGCCAATTGTCTTCGTGCATATATGTTGCGCCGAACTCACGCAGAAACTCTATTTGGGCGTCCTATCCTCAAGCTTCCCGACATTGATGAAAACACAATAGTTGTTAAATTTTCCATTGTGGAGAGAGCTCTATACCAAAAAATTATTGGGAGCTTCTTAGATGAACATCTTAGTTAGCCATGACCCATTTCTACTTTTCATATGGTTAGTAGGAAATCTAACTCTGCATAGACACCATGCGCACCATTGACGGAATTGACAACTATCTCACCCTTCTGCTTTACCTGCGAATGTTTACTTCCCATCTGCTATTACCACAAGATGCAATAAGGCAGATATTGACTCCTCAATTTATGCAAGAAATTGAGCCTGAAATAAAACAGAGCTCTGATATTGAAGATAGTGAGGTGTTCAATTCACTTCAGGCGTCGTGGTTCGCGAACCCACCGAAGCCTCTAGATCGCTCGGGAAAAGAAGGATCGGATGCCGGAATCTCAACATTGTTTGAATCCGTGATGGGCGGCTCAAAACAGGCCGCAAACATCATGGATTGCATTGAATGCAACCAGAGACAAGAATCAGTTTTTATATTATCATGTATGCACCTTTGTTGTTTCAATTGCACACCAAACTTACCACGAGTTGGAGACAAAATTACGTGCCGTTGTGGTTTGACTGTATCCTATGAACCATGCCTTGATCTCCAGAAATTCTGCCGTAGTAAGGCAATGCGGAGGGAGAGAGGTTCGAAGTCTAGATGCATCGACGAATTTGAACAGGATATGGGAACTCGAACTATGAGCGAGACGGTACTTAGCGCGAAGCTAAGGGCTGTGAAAATGTTCATTTCTAAGTGGCTCAAGGAGTCACCAGATATTAAAATCACAATATTCACACAGTTTCTGGGAATGATTAGTGCCATAGCCTCGGCGTGCGAGGCTGAAGGTTGGAGATACACCACGGTATGGATGTTCTAACTGGCTTTTTATGTCTTGTATCAGTGTGCTCACTGTTGCCTCGACAGCTTTGTGGGAAACTGCACCATAAAACTAGACATGCAAACATCAAACGGTTCCGCGAGGAGAACGTTAGCATCTTGATCTCCTCGCTGAAAGCAGGGGGTGTGGGCCTCGACCTGACTATGGCTAGCAAATGTATCCTCGTTGATTTATGGTGGAACGAAGCAATTGAGCAACAAGTAAGCAACACCCATCTTGCGCTAATTGATTCGAAATCTCCTAAATATGTTAGGCATTTTGCCGCCTATTCCGCATAGGCCAAAAGAATGACGTAGAGATCGTTCGTATATGTGTCGAGAACACGATCGATGACCGCCTCCAACTTATTCAGAGTCGGAAATCTGAACATATAAGAAAGGCTATGGGGTCAACCGTCCTCGCGCAAAGGCTAGTCATTGGTGCTTCTCTATATCTTCGAAATGGAAATTCTAACACAGCTATAGGGATACCCTTGCCGATATTTTGACACTCTTTGGGGTGGAAGAAGATGAGAATGCAGACGGGGGATACAGGTTCTTGACCGAAGAAGAGGCGGCTGCACAGTTGAAGGAGAAGGACAAGACCCCTGATAATAACGCTGACGCTGACGCCGACGCCGAAGCCGAACCCGACGCCGAAGCTCGACCCGAACCTGAGCCTAAGCCTGAGCCTGAGCCTGAGCCTGAGCTTGAGCCTGAACCTGAAGGCGAACCTGAACTTGAGGCAGAAATTGAACCTGAACCCGAAGCCAAAGTCGAAGTGGAAGCTGGCGCTACCTAACTAGCTAACTAGTCAAGGAGAATTGCATTCCCCATCTATTTCCCCCCGTCTCACCGTCTCACTGCTTCCTTTCAAAAACCATAAACAAGGCCTGCTGAAAAAGAAGCTTCTAGTTAGCCGTGGATAGAAAAATACAGCTGGCTGTTCCTTTCGTTCAATTGCTTCAACTAACGAAGTTAACTACCCCAGCATTTCTCCTTCCACGTGACTGTAACTAGTAGTTGCCCGGGGCCAAGGTTAGATATGGGAAAGAGACCCATGCCTGAGGGCAACAGGGCGTTTTCTCACGACGAACGAGATGGCTTCTCAGCGGGGAAGACATATAGCCATATTGCCGTCGAGTACATACCGTCTGAGAGACCTTTAATACATTTAGATGCTGAAGGCCTACTCTTTAGCACAGCCCTACCACCGCACGATTAACACGGTTAGCAGACCCGTTGGAGCATGGCAGACGAAAAGAAGCAGTTGGGCGCTGCTGCCGGCCTGCAAGACGGATACTATAATCTCGGGGCATATCACCGTCCCATTAGCACGAGCAGCCAGGGTGCTCAGACGTGGTTTGACCGTGGGCTGATATGGAGCTTTGCTTTTAACCATGACGAAGCAGCAGCGTGCTTCCAACGAGCCATCGACGAAGACCCTGACTGTGCCATGGCGCACTGGGGACTTGCGTACGCTTCTGGGCCCAACTATAACATGCCGTGGGCATTTTTCAATGCTGAACAGCTGGGATATGTGGTGACCAAAACCCATGATGCTGCTAGAAAGGCAGGAGAGAAGGCACAGGCGCCAAGTGTATCGGCAGTTGAGAAGGCCTTAACCAAGGCTTTGATACATCGATATCCCCAAGACCATCCCGTAGAAGACTGTGCGGTATGGAACAAAGGATATGCTGATGCGATGAAGTTGGTATACCGAGCATTTCCCGACGACCTGGACGTTGCGATGCTCTACGTGGATGCATTGATGAATCTGACTCCATGGAAACTGTGGGACTTGGTGACTGGGAATCCAGCAAAGGGAGCGCACACTCTAGAAGCCAAAGATATCCTCGACCGTGCCTTGGCACAAGAAGGAGGGCTTTCTCACCCTGGGCTTCTTCACCTTTACATCCATCTCCTAGAGATGTCTACTTCACCAGAATCGGCATTACCGGCAGCTAACCGGTTAAGAGGGCTCGTTCCTGACTCTGGACATTTGAACCATATGCCATCTCATATTGATATCCTGTGCGGTGATTACCAAGGTGCAGTCATATCAAACTCGGATGCGGTTATTGCCGATGAGAAGTACGTTGCTCAACATGGAAAGATGAATTTCTACACCCTCTATAGATGCCACAACTACCACTTTAAGGTGTATGCAGCCATGTTTTCAGGGCAATCAAAAATTGCGGTCGATACTGTTAAGGAGATGGAGGCAACTATACCTGACCAGCTAATACGGGAATCTACCGAGATGGCAAATCTTCTGGAGTCCTTCGTTGCTATGCGGGTACACGTCTTGATCCGCTTTGGAATGTGGGATGAGGTCCTCGCTCTTGAGCTACCAGAAGACCAGTACTTATACTGCGTGACTACGGCAATGAGGCTGTATGGAAAGGGAGTGGCATATGCCGCAACTGGAAGAATTGAACTGGCACGAGAGGCTCGTGAAGCTTTCCGCGGCGCAGTAAAACGAGTGCTGCCCACTCGCACGGTATTCAATAATAGCTGCGCTGACATCCTGGCCATTGCCTCTGCAATGCTAGACGGCGAGCTAGAATACCGCCTCGGACACTACGATACTGCATTTGAACACCTACGCCATTCCATCAAGCTCTATGATTCTCTGCACTATGATGAGCCATGGGGTTGGATGCAACCGGTTCGACATGCATACGGTGCTCTTTTGCTTGAACGGGGCTATGTTCAGGAGGCGGCCGCAGCGTATCGTGCAGATCTGGGCCTTGATAACACCGTGCCTCGAGCACTGCAACATCCAAATAATGTCTGGGCATTACATGGGTATCACGAATGCCTGGAAGCTCTAGGAAAGACAGATGAAGCGGCAAAGGTTGCACAACAGCTTGCTACCGCGGTTGCCTTGGCGGATGTGCCGATCCGGTCATCTTGCTTCTGTCGACTGCGGACTGTTGCCAGAATGTAAACATTGTTGTTTCCAATCCTGCATGTATTGTTTCAGGACAGCATAAAATGAATAATAGCCAGATGAAGGTTGGATGAAGATTCTCGACTCTACTAGTAGTACTGCCACTACTACTATGTATTTCCATATATTTTGAGCAAGTAGTATCATGAAAAGCTAAGAGAGTTTCATATTATAAAAGCCGTCCTCGTTGCTCTATCAAGGAGTTTTAAGACAAGCAAAAGGACACCAAAACAAAATAAGTGTAAACCCTAAGATTCACCAACAGCATAACACGAACGCCTTCCCGTGTCAACCAGAGCTTGGATCAGCCTTAGCATCTGGTAATGAGAGTGCAGGCCGTGTAGGTATCGAAATACTGAAACTGCATACCAAACACATGGGTGGAAAAGGGGTAAGTGGGGGGCGAGCGAGAACGAAATCGAGATTAGAAAGTACAGGCTACCTATTCCTCTGGGGGATTACGAGTAGCATTTGAAGTGGTATCATCATTATGGATATCGAAATGTCGTTAAAAGTCGGTTGGTGGGTTAGGTCGATTTAAGATTGGATTTTGTTGTCTCCCTTGACAGCTTCAGCGTAGGTTGGTGGAGCTCTCTGCTCACCCTCAGGCCTACTACTGCTTCCCTGATCTGGCACGCCACTGGTCTGATGTGGTTTCTGAGGAACTGGGGGTGGAGGAACAGGCCTTGATTCGGGGTTTACGTTGGTGCCATACGAGCGCTGCTGCTGTTGTTGTTGCTGCTGCTGGTACTGGTTAGGGTGAGCCTGCTCATGGGCGATGTAGTAGTATGTGACTCGGCCCGCCTCAGCGTCTCCACGCTGTCCATGTCCGACGATGGGTCTGTATCCATCTGGGTACTCGTCGTCTGCCTCTGGGTACTTGAGAATGATGTACCATGCATGAAGCAGACCTGGGACGTACCCCAGGCAGCAAAGGGCGATGTTGATAAGAGAATCAGCAGAGCAGACGCCGACCTTAATCCAGACTACAGGTTTAAACAAGCCGAAACCGTTAGTATCATGCCATATACCACCTGAGAGGGGCGCGGGAGCGAACGGGTTAGCGTACCTGCGATGGGCGGGAAGAGGACGGCCAGAATGGCCAGGAAGGCGTCTGGCGAGCACATGGTGGAAAATGAAACAGAGTCGATCTGGTGTCGCAGCCGTTCTTCCTTTTCTTCTGCTGCTGCTCCGTGGTCCTTTTTGTAACAGATCAAGCTGAAGTGGCTGCCTGGCGATGTTGCTTCTTCCCCTTCCTTGCGCCTCGTTCAGTGACGTTTCTGCTTAATCAGCATATATCACGTGGAAGCCACTCTCCAGTAGCGTGTACTCTAATAATATCAAGGCTTTGCCTCGCTCTGTCAAAGTGTCAAAACCAGCTCTGGCCGCCGCCCATCCTTTCCGCTTCTCCAATACCTTCGCTTGGCGGCCGCCAGCGTCTGTCTATCCCATCCCCGTATCGCTGCCATCTGTTGCCCATCATGCAGCATCTATGTGCATCTCCTCCAGTGCTACTCCGTACGGTCTTACAGCTCCCCCTATAGCTAACATCGATATCTGTATTACATAATGGTATTTTTTGTGTATCAAAGCCCTGCAGAGACTTTCAGGGGCGTGACGGGATGTCCCGAGAGGGCGTAGAGCGGGCACAAATACCGATTTCTCATTGGCTGCGACCTCATCACCAGCCAATCACAGCTTGTTGCGCTAAAGTAACTTACGCCATACACCTCGGATACCACTGCGCTTTACCGCTTTGGGCCCCGTCGCCCGAAGCGTCGACCCTTCTCGTCCTCCTCCTCTTTTCTTCAACTTCAACTCCAGCTGCGACACCGCATCCACGGTCAATCGTTCGGTTCTTCGTCTCTCGTTACGCCCTGTTCGCCGGCAGACTTGCCTGTCCACTCGTTCGTTTTCTGTCGAAGGGCTTGTCGCGAAAGGGCCCCTTTTGTTCACCACCCAGAACGTCGAATTACTAAGAGAAACACTCCAACAACACACCACGTCAACCAGCAACACGTCGGTCTTGTTCTGTCATTCATTAAGCTCCAGGGCACATCCTCGCCCCCAAGAAAAGCTCTTCCTGAACTCAAAGGAACTTACGCATTCCGTCTTCATGTCGATGATAACTGCCGCTACCCCGTTCTTGGTTGTCTTCTTGCTGTGACTGTGACTTTGGCCCCAGGAAAAACGTCTTCAGTCAGCAGCTCACAGAAGGACCCGCACCAAACCAGATAAGACACTTTCGGCATGTCGACGGACTGTATCTCGCTCAGGGGATCGAAGCAATGCCCCGCCTTCAGTTCTGCTTCTATCTCTGTCAATGACCGCTTGGTCGGTCAATAGTACGTGTTCCTCGGTTACTCTGTTACTCTGCTTGAAAAGAATCAGGGATTGACAAATCTATTTTGATGGATAGCCCTTTTCTACGATATGTCTCCAACCTCAACGATTTCGATGAGAAACTCGGCTCTTTCGTTCGCAATGAATATGTCAAAATGAAGTATGTCCTTGATCGTTTTTTTTTTTTTTTTTTTTTTCGTTTTCTTTTTGTTTTGTTGATTTTTTTTAAATCTTCCTGCGTGCCTCTTACTACCATATCCAAGTGACTGATCATGTTTCGCCTTGACAGGTACCAGGACATACTCGGATGCGAAGGTTTGAACCTTAAGAACACATCTTCTCTCTATGCTCAATATACGACCAGCGTAATATGTAATGGAATAATACAAAATTCAAAAGAGCCGTGTCGTCTGTCTGAACGAAGCTCCAGACCACTTTGTGCGGAGAGTTGTGTAAGTTGTTCTCCCTTCTTCAATCCGACAGTAAACATTGCTAATTCACGTCACTGTTAGGCAATGTTTGCAACCAGTGAAGAAATAATTACAGTCAACCAGGATCTATGTCGGTCCCCTAAACGCAATCACATGGACGAAATAAGGGCAGACTTCACGGTTTGCGCCATTCCAGCTAATTCGTTATCCGGGCAGTGCATTCCTGGCACCGATAACGAGCCAAACGAATGCGGGTTTGGAGAAAATCTGCTCGGCCTGTGTGGTTTCTGCTCGCAGACTTCAATCAATGGCACTGATACGTGCTGCTACGCTGCCAATGCGGAGCAGCGTTGCAAGAACATCAAACTTCCAGAAATCTCATCACTGCCACCTCTATTTCCGCATCCAACTTCGACACCCTCTCCTACGCACACTGACAAACCAGGCGGCGGAGGTCTGACTGGTGGACAGATTGCCGGAATTGCCGTTGGAACAGTATTGGGATGTGCATTTTTAATCGGTCTGGCGGTTCTATTCCTCCTTTGGAGAAGACGGAAACGGAATGAATCTGCTGAAAGCATTTTCAACCAACCTACGCCTCCCCGGACCATGGCAACGGCTCCATCATATCCCGCTGGCGGCAACTCAACTAACAAGCAGCAGAAAGGATATGAACCCATCCCCGGAGGCCGTGTTGCGCGAATGTCAGCACTTCAAGGTGGTAGTAACCCACCATCACGTCACGCATACCACGATTCGGATTCCGATGTATTTGGCGACAGCCCTTCTGGTGGCAAGTCGAGGCGTATTCCACCCGTCACAGGAAGAAGAAACGGCTCACTTTCTAGCGCGTCTGCCCTCGCTGGCGATGGTGACACGTTATCTCCCAAGTCTGGCAGCGGTGCCCAGTTCTCTTCTCCCGAAGGCGTTGCCAGCGGCCAGTCAGAGCAGCTCCCTTATTTCCGCGACTATTATTCACAGGACGACATCCATCCAAATGACAGAGTATCTGTTCTCTGGGCATATCAACCTCGAGCTCCTGATGAGTTTGAACTAGACAGAGGTGACATGCTGAAAGTCGTTGGTATATGGGACGACGGCTGGGCAACAGGTGTCCGAGTCAACGAGAAAGCAGAGGACTATGACTCGAAGCATAAACACAGTCCGCTCAGAGATAGTGGTGTCTCTCACGGGTCAGAGGCACGGCCTCCATCTTCACCAACTACCGGAGAAATAAAAGCATTCCCAGTTCGTCTAAACCTTGCTCCATTCTTGTGTTACTTATTTTGAATCTATTTACTAACGACTCCATCTAGCTCGTCTGCGTATGCCTACCACAACATTGGCGAAAAACTATCGACGGCTACCTTGAAGGAGGTGACCAAGAACCCTCATCTTAACGGATATCACCTTGTCTATGCTTGTTTTTTCCCTTCTCCTTTCATGCGTTGATGACACAAACTAGTTTCCGGCCGTTCAGGCTCTGGCGTTATCTTTTCCTTGCCTTCTTACATTCTACAGCCTCCCTTTTACTCTCTTTATTTCTTTTCTTCTTTTCCTTTTATTTTATTCCCCGAAGAGTTGACCCTCTTACCGCAAATACCTTGGCCTTGCTTTGATCACGCCTATATCCATTATACGGTACTACTTTTACTTCTTTCTCTTCTAGTGTCCAGCGAAGACCTTTACAGCAAATTCTCCAGTGACATTTACGTCACTCTTTTTTTTTTTTTTTTTTCGGAAAAGACAACAACAAAAAGAACAAAAAAAAAAAAAAAAGAAAAGCAAAGAAAGAAAGAAGAAAAGAATTTCAATATTTATGTGAATGGGGACACCCTAATATCTCACATGCTGCAGGGCTAGTTCAGTCTAGATCTTCGAGCAGTTTGGGTTGTTTAGTTTTTGCTCTGGCGCAAAGCCGGCAAGCACTGTTCGAGCAACACACACGCAGCACCTGCCCTCACTCTCAGTTTGCCCGGCTCCTCCACCGTTTGTGGAGAGGGTATTTCCTTGCTCTAGTTTGTTGTGCTCACATGCTGTGCTTCCTCTGACTTAATTGCTTCTCGTACTCCGTACGCTAGATGTTAGTTGTGTTAGCTGCCTATTCCTGTACTTTTTTTTTACCTTGATGTAGTTTATACCCCCCAAGAGATCCCAAGCCAGGCCTAAGGGTAGTTTGTCTTAATCCTAGTTGTTAATTACAGTCCATCCCTTACATTTACCGTTTTCATTGTTTATACTCCGTACACCTGGAGCGAGCATGACCACGGGACTAACCCACAATTTACTTATATACAGTCCCTGTTCAATTTTTGCATACACAACGCTCTGAGACCAAGCATGCTTAATTCAACCAGATACTGTAGGTATCCACCCTCTCTTCTCCATCACTACAGACTTATTACCTCTTCACGGTGCTCGGCGTGATCGGCCTCTTGAAACACACAACCACTCGACATATTAACTATCCGGCAATGTAATATAGGACAGGGATCATCAACACTCTTTCTCCCCCAAACTCCGTCGTGTGCAGGTGGATGTTCATGAATATGGCGTGATCGTAGGGGTGCTCACGTATAGGTACCCTTTTGCTTGCTTGCTACACTGCTGGCAGGCCTGACCTTTCCAGCGCCGTGTCATGCCATGCCACGGTCACAGTCATGTCGACCAGCACCAGCAGCATCACCAGGAGCACCACCACCACCATCATCATCATCATGCTGGCAAGCAACATGGCGTGATGGATGCACCGTAGCTATGCAACCGGCGCTGCAGGATATATACCAAGCCCGGCAAATACAATGTAAGTATCTGTCCTCTGTCAGCCATATTCCGTGAACATGTATTCTGTATCTCTGGCGTGACCATTATTTTGTCCGTAGTTTAAAAAATAGAGAGCCTCCATCTCCATCCGGTAACCGTTGCATCCTCACATGTAATCTATCATCCGTTCACTTGTTTAGGTAGTGGCTTAGTCGGGCCCATCAGAGGAGCAAGGGGAAAAGGAGCCCAGTTGAGCACACCGATGCCGTGAACGCAGGATAGGATACCCCTGATACTCGCCTCTCTCGGTCCGTACATTTTTCTGATGGCTGCCCTTCTTCTTCTTTTTTTTTTTTTCCAATTTCTTTCCTGTTCACCGCTGACACTGGCCATGCGCTCAGGCTGCTCTGTGTGCTTTTTTCCCCTTTCTTTGCTTTTCCCTGCATTGAAGAACCGTCGTCTCTCGGCCTTATCGTCCGAGAGAGAAAAAGTGAGCCTGAAGAGAATATGAGAGCAGAACGAGGAGCAAACGCAGCGGTCCAGCTCGTTATCCGCCATCGTCATTGCAGCCGAAGTCATTTGGCCACCTCGTCCTCTCCAGCCTCTCGTCTTGCTCCTTCTTGCTCCTCTTCACATGACGGCTTTTTCGTATGCTCAAACCTGAGAGCCACGTGAGAGTTGGATTTTTTTTCCTTCCCTCGATGCGCTGGCGACTGTCAAAGGAATATCCCTGGTTTGTTTTAGAGATATTGTGCATTTAGCCCGTCCAGTAGTCGGTTACTCCGTAGTCAGCGAGTTAATAATGGGGCTGGCGATGGCATTCATGCTCCTTTTCGCCTTTCAATATATGCTTCCCTGGTGCAGATGCCCGTTAGTTACGCGAGCCTTGCCCTCGTCTAGCTCGCAATGAATTGTCTTGCGCAAAAGAAGTCTCCGGTAAACAAGTCTAGTTGGCTTAGATCAAGGAAATCGGCTTTGCCTGTCCATCTGCTTCCCCTCGGGTTTCATCCTCGGGGCCGGCGTACAAGGTCGTTCGGAGTTGTTGCCTCTTCAACAGATATCCTGAGCCGGCCAGCTTGCCAAAAATACATGTAAATCAGAATCAGATCGGCCGTGAAGCTGATGAAACCAGCTGGGGGGCCGAGAGGCAAGAGAAGAAACACCTGGAGAGCTGCCCGTCATCGATCGAGTTGGCCGAGTATACCCCCCCACGGCCCTGTTCGTTTGCTCGGTAATCGTCTAGGGGAGCGCCTCACAGCTCGACGCTGGCTGGCCAGTAGTAACTATTTGCAAGCAGCGGGCACTTTCAGCTGCTTTCTCACCATCATGGCGTCACTGTCGCCTGCTCGGCCTGCCGGCCGTGGCTGCGCTGGCTGTATATATCTGCATGGTCATCGTGGGCTTCCAGTGGTAACTAACTAGTTGGCCCCGTTAGTTACTTCTTGGGAGTTCACCGTTAACTAACTAACTACCAAACTACCAGCGGCCTCGGCCTTGGGCAACGAACGCTTCTCTCGGCTTCTCGCTGCTTGGGCATTCTTGGTTGCCGGGTCAAAGAAGGCCTCTGCACAGGCATAAGATTGTCCAGTTATTGTTATGATATAAATTTTGCAGGCTGATATTTTTCAAACCTCTCTCTCTTTTTTTGCAGCAACATAACTATAAAAATTATCAGTTAACAAGTCAGCTAACGAGTTGACGCCGGTTTCATGAAGCACATCAATGTATCAGGAAACACCCGAAGAGACAGAAAGGATGAAAAAGACAGCAGCTAACTAAAACGTCTTCCCCGTATCAATAACGGCGATGCTGATATGATCTCCAAGATCCCAGGGGGGTTGTATGTCATTGCATCATGGGCACTCCATGCCAGTGTCTCTCCTCTCCGGCCAGAAACAAAACAAAACAACACAGTCCTGGAGGTCCTGGAGGTCCCGGAGGTCCTTGCATAGACGACTGGTCATCTGTCGATGGTTCGAAGGAGATCTGACCATGCTGTTTCTCCTGCTTGGAGATTTGGCGTTTTGGGTCTGTATTTTTGCATTTTTGCAAATTGCAACTTGTATCTGGATTTATTTT